GTAGTAGTAGTAGTAGTAGTAGTAGTAGTAGTCGTAGTAGCCGTCGTAGTCGTAGTAGTCGTATGAGTAGTCGTTGGTGTAACATTAGTAGTAGCAGTCGTCGTGTCAGTAGTATTTGTCGTCGTCGTCGTCGGCGTCGGCGTCACAGTCGTAGTAGGGTTAGCAGTAATGTCAGTAGTAATTGCAGCAGCAGCAGCAGTAGCAGTAGTAGTAGTAGTAGTAGTAGTAGTAGTAGTAGTAGTAGCCATAGTAGTAGTAGTAGTAGTAGTAGTAGTAGTAGTAGTAGTAGTAGTGGTAGTAGTAGTAGTAGTAGTAGTAGTAGTAGTAGTAGTAGTAGTAGTAGTCGTAGTAGTAGGAGTAGTCGTTGTAGTGGCAGCAGCAGCAGTAGACGTAGTTTTCGTAGTAGTAGTAGTAGTAGTAGTAGTAGTAGTAGAAGTAGTAAGTAGTAGGAGTAGTAGTAGTAGTAGTAGTAGTAGTAGTAGTAGTAGTAGTAGTAGTAGTAGTAGTAGTAGTAGTAGTGGTAGTGGTAGTAGTATTAGTAGTAGTAGTAGTAGTAGGTTCAGAAGTCGTAGCAGTAGTCGTCGCAGTAGTAGTAGTAGTAGTAGTAGTAGTAGTAGTAGTAGTAGTAGTAGTGCAGTAGTAGTAGTAGTAGTAGTAGTAGTAGTAGTAGTAGTAGTAGTAGTAGTAGTAGTAGTAGTAGTTGTAGTAGGTGAAGTAGGTGAAGGAGAAGGAGGGGTTCAACGCAGAGACAGTAGGATCTCTTCCTGGCCATGCGTGGTGCCAGACGGGACAAAGTATGCCCGGTGCGTCGCGCTGACGACCCTGCCCTGTCTTCGCGGCTTCAAGGCGATGGTTGACCTTCAGTGGGACGTTGTCACGGAGGAGGAGGAGGAACATGCTGATGATGATGTTGATGCTGATGTTGATGCTGCTGCTGATGATGCTGATGATGATGATGTTGTTGGTGATGATGCTGATGACTATTTTTTAGCATGATTGCGATGCTGATGCGTCTGATGCTGTTGCTGCTGCTGCTGCTGATGATGATGGTGGTGGTTATGATGATTGTGGTGATGATGTTGAGATAGAAGTAGAGTAGGGGAGAACCATGACGAGGATGATGTTGCGAGTGAGGGGGGGGAGGATGAGGAGGGGGAAGCGACGGGGGAGGTGATGGCCAAGGGGAGGGAGGAGGAGGGTGGACGTAGCAACGGAAGAGGACGCGGGAGGGGGGATGGAGGTGGAGGAAGAGGAGTTGAGGGAGGGAGCGTGGGCGTGAGGTGAAATAGGAGGAGGAGGAGGAGGAGGAGGACGAGGACGAGGACGAGGAGGAGGAGACGGAGGAGGAGGAGGGGGAGGGGGAAGAGAGGGGGGTGGAGGGGGTGGGGGAGGAGGAGGAGGATGAAGAAGAGGAAGAGGAACAACAGTAGCAACAACAATAATAGTAGTAATGGTAGTACTGGTACTAATCACCATAGTATTACTAATCATAAGAATAGCAGTAATAACAATATCAAACAGACTCATAATATTAGTCAAACTAAAGCTATTGATTATAATCGTAATGCTCATATTAATAGTATTCGTGCGAATAATAATGTGAATGCTAATCGTAATAGTTATACTATTAGTAGTTCTAGTGCGAGTGATAGTCCTATTGTAGAAATACTACTACTAATACTGATACTCATAGGACTCTTACGATTAATAGTAGTCGTATTCAGAAGACTCGTGATACTACGAATCAGAACAATAATATTATGATGTTCAAGAGTAGTTTAAAATATTCGAACACTAGTAGTGAAGCAGGAGGAGGAGGAGGCGGAGTCGGAGTCGGAGGCGGAGGCGGAGGCGGAGGCGGAGGCGGAGGAAGGAGAAGGAGGAGGCGGAGGGGCAGGAGGGAGGTGGAGGGGAAGGGGGGGGAGGACGACTTGCTGGACCAGGGTCAACCCAGCACGCGCCACTCCTCGTAGGTGATTGCGTCTTTTTGCCGATCACCGCTGAAAGCACCCGCCAGACAAGGTGAGGGGCCCATGGACCTGCACGATGAACGCCGGGTGCGTTTTAGGTTGGAATGCGAATCGGTGCCGTCATCAAGATGCGACTCCAGAACGTTAGAAAAACGCGATGGGCTCGAGAGCGAATCGACCTCCACCTTTTTGTGTTTTGTGAAAACTTGAGGAGGTCGCGCGGCGCCGGAGCGAGAGTGCGATTCTGAAAAGGGTCTCGCTCCATCCGTAGAACTTCCGAAACTTGAGTTTTCCAGAATTTGAAAGGTAACAAGCTCTCGGATGAGACTTCGGTTTTAATCCAGAGTCGCTCTTCATCAATTTCGCTGTTTTGAAGTTTTAAGCTTGAAGCTCTTCTACAAGCCTCTGACTTGCCTCAAAGTTGCTACCCTCCATCTTTGTAGCCTTGGAAAGTCCGCAGCGAGATCTCGGCATTGAAAAAGACCCGCCCTCTATACCCGGAGCTGGCGGAGATTTCAAGCTTCAGAGTCATAGGTTGTGAGGTAGTCTCATGCGGGGGGGGCCATTTTGAAATGGTACCTTTCTCCGAGCAGCGGTTGGGGACTTCTCAGGTCCATGTGCGAGGTGCTGAGGCGATGGCCAGATCATGCAAGCGTGCCTCCCTCAATCAAAACAGCTCCTGGGGACCTCGAGAAACAGTCGCGTGGCGCTAAGTTAGTCGCAACAGTTTGAAGAAGGGCCGCTTTCCTCCATGATAGTTGTTGAACCTCCCAAGTTTCATGAGCATACAGTGTGAGCCGGTATCGGACAAAACATTCGGACCGCCCCACCGACACGTCTGGACGTGTGAGGATGATGTTCTACAGTCAAAAACCCTAATAAGGACGCGCGACTTTGCTCAGGGTACCCTTGCGTCCTTGCTCTTCCTTGCTCTTGCGTCCTTGGGGTTTTCGTCGTCCGCCGCCCCAAAAATCCCAACTTCGGCTTGCAAGGGTCTTGCGTCCTTACCGCGCGTCCTTATTAGGGTTTCTGATTGTATTTGCAAGAAGTTATAGGATGGCGACGAATCTGAGGATGAGAAGGAGCGGGAGGGAGTGGGATGGTAGGAGCTGGTAGGAAGCGCACGTAGGCGGACATGCTCGCTGATACGAGCACACACATGGACGCTATGAGGCCCACGGTTGATTAGCTCTTTCTGCCTGGAGCGCTCGATTTGCTTTACCTCCTCCTCTTACCTCCTCGCTGCAGCTCCCGCTGCTGCTCCTTCTCCTCCTCCTCCTTCCCATCGCCATCAGCGGAGAGTTAGCGGAGAAGCAACTCGGCAACATTCGATTTCGCAAAGGGCGAAGAAGGACTCAGAGGAGGACGGACGAGGACGGAGGACGGGGGATGGAGGACGGAGGAGGAGAAGGAAGACGAGGAGGATGAGGAGTAGAAGGGCGAGCTCCACTGAAGGGGGGGCGGCCTGCTCCCCATTCTTCATGTCGGCCAACAAGTTCCCCGAAGGTCATCGATCGCAGCGGGCTGGCGTCTTGGTGCTTCTGGCGCCTGGGGGGAGGGTCGGGGAGGCAAATGCTGGACGGCCATTTCTCAGCGCCCGCCGCGAGGGTCGACGCCTGGCGTGGCGGAGCCGCCGTCTCGGCCCGTCCGCCCGCTGGCAGTCGCACCTGCCCACCTCCCGGCCCCTCTTGTGGATCCCCACATGCTATTGTAGGCGATCCGTCATGGGCCCCCCTCGTTGCACGCAGCAGTCAAGCTGTCGTGCAGCATACCGTTGGAGGACCGCCGAGGACCACCTTGGAGCGCCCGAGGACGCGGTTGGCTCCGGCCAGCCCTTCCGGGCGCTCGCGCGCGGGCCAAGCCCGCGGCGCCCACGGGCTCTCGCGAGAGGGGGTGCGCCTTCGCTGGGCCGACGGTGCCCTCCTCACCTCGCCCCCAGCTTTCCGCCTCGCGGCGCGTCGCGCGGGCGGCCTGGCGGGGGGCCCGTGCATGGACCGCGTGTCGACTCGGAAGGACGACCGCCTCCAGCCCTCGCTGGCGGCGTGCAGGGGGTGGTGCAGAGCCATGGTCGGGTGTTGCTAGAAGTGCCCCTGGCCCAAGGTGCCCCCAGGATTTCCAAGGAGGCCCCCACGGCCTCCAGGGCACCCCTCACGAGGCCCAGGGCCTCAAGGGCTCCGAAATTGAGCGAAAAGCTGCGGGCACCTTGGCCCAGAAGGAGGCGCACTTAGAGGCCCCGAAACGGGCCTCCTCCAAAGCAGGCGGGCTTCTCAGAAGCCCCCCTCCCCCGCCCTGGCCCTCCAAACGCCCTGGCCCTCCACACGCCCCCTCCCCACGCCCTGGCCCTCCACACGCCCCCCCCTCGCGCCCTGGCCCTCCACACGCCCCCCCCCCCGCGCCCGTGGCCCTCCACACGCCCCTGGCCCTCCTCAGAAGGCCCCCCCCTCCGTTCTGGCCCTCCGCACGCCGCCTGCCGGCCCCCGCTCAGGAGTCCAGGGCGTCCGCGCGCCCCCCGCCCCCCTTTGCCTGCAGGGGGCGCGCGCCGCGCGCGTGGTCCGAGCCCTTTTTGGGCCGTTCGCTCGTGGTGTCTCTCCCCGAAAATGCGCTTGTCGGAGGGAGGAGAATAGGGGAACGAAGAATGACATAAGCGTAAAAACTCGGAGGTCCGCGCGGATTTCTCGGATCCGCGCTGGACCCCCCTGGCGGCGCCTCCGGCGCCGCCCCTAGCGCGTGCCAGGGAGGGGGGTCCAGCGCCGATCCGAGAAGTCCCCGCGGACCTCCGAGTTTTTATGTTTATGTCATTCTTCGTTCCCCTAGAGAAGCGATGCCAACACCACCAGGGGGCCCACCTCCAGCGAGGAGGTCCACGATGCCTCCCCGAGCTGGATGCTGGGGGTATCTCGAGCGAGAGGTTGGACCACACCACCAGGGAGACCCCCCTTGCCTCCTCGCATCTCCTCGCCCTGGTGGTGTTGGTGTCGCCTTTCCTTGTTCCTATCTTGCTCCTGTCAGCGCCATGGTCTTCGTCGCCCCTGGGCACAGCGGGAGGGAGGGAGGGGGATGGCGGCGGGATGAGGGGAGGGCAGCAACGGGACGGCGGGATGATGATGGATGGCTGATGGGTGGGAGGTGGAGGATGGGGATGATGCTGCTGCTGCTGCTGAGCTGCTGATGACGAGGATGATGACGATGACGATGACGACGATGATGATGATGATGATGATGATGATGATGATGATGATGATGATGATGATGATGATGATGATGATGATGGTGTTGTTGATGATGATGACGAGGATGATGATGCTGCTGATGATGATGCCGACGACGACGATGATGATGATGATGCTGCTGATGCTGATGCTGATGCTGATGATGCTGATGATGATGCTGATGCTGCCGATGATGACGATGATGCTGATGACGACGACGATGATGATGACGATGATGATTATGATGATGCTGCTGCTGCTGATAATGATAATGATAATGATGATGATGACGATGATGATGATGATATGATGATGCTGATGATGATGATGATGATGATGACGATGATGATGATGATGATGATGAGGATGATGATGATGATGATGATGATGATGATGATGATGATGATGTGATGATGATGATGATGATGATGATGATGATGATGATGATGATGATGATGATGATGATGATGATGATGATGATGCTGATGATGATGATGATGATGCTTTTTTGTTTAAATATATATATATATATATATATATATATATTATTATTGATACTATTATTATTATCATGATTATTATTATGAGTCTTGTGATATGAGGATGATGATGGTGCTGCTGCTGATGATGACGACGAGGATGATGATGACGACGAGGATGATGACGAGGAGGAGAAGGAGGAGGAGGGAGGAGGAGGATGAGGATGTGGTGGTGGTGCTAATGATGAGGATGAGGCAGGGGATGAGGAGGAGGGGGATTAGGAGGAGAAGGAGGAGGAAGGGGAGGAGGAGAAGGAGGAGGAGAGGGAGCTTGAGCAACAGGAGGGAAGACGTGGACGAGGAACGAGGAGGATGACGATATTGATAATGATGATGATGATGATGATGATGATGATGATGATGTTGATGATGATGATGATGATGATGATGACGACGACGAGGATCATGATGGTGATGATGCTGATGATGGTGTTGATGATGATGAAGAGGACGAGGATGAGGATGAGGATGATGATGAGGAAGATGAATATGAAGATGAAGATGAAGGTGAATCTGAATATGATGATGATGACGATAATGATGTTGATGATGTTGATGCTGCTGATGATGACGATGATGATGATGCTGATGATGATGATGCTGATGATGCAGATGTTAATGACGACGATGATGATGTTGATGATGGTGATGATGGTGATGATGATGCTGATGCTGCTGCTGATGATGATGATGATTATTATGATGATGATGATGATGATGATGATGATGATGATGATGATGATGATGATGATGATGATGATGTTGATGATGATGATGATGATGATGATGATGATGATGATGCTGATGATGATGAGGAGGAGGAAGAGGAGGAGGAGAAGGAGGAGGAGGAGGAGGCTGACCAGTGTAAACTCAAGACTCATCAACGATCTTGCATTCAACCCTCCCTCCAAGTTCTCTCGTCATAGGCTCCTACAGGGGTTCATGTCCACTGAGGGAATGCCGCGTTGGAAGACAACCGTTTGAAAATCCCGAATTGTGCCAGAAAGCCATTTTGGGTGCTTCAGCGCCGCGACTCACTGTTACTGCTGCGTCTGAAGATCCTGAGCCGTATCAGAACACCAGTCCTGGGACTTCAACACCGCGAATCAACGTGACTGTTGCGCCCTGACGTTCCGACATAGTGCCAAAACGCTATTTCTGGTCGTTCACCATGAGAATCTTTGAAACTGCAGTAAACACTTAAGACGAATGTGCGCAGCGCTACGGCGAGAGCAACCTTTGAACAGGAACCGTCCTCCATACGTGAAATTTTATCAGACTTTTGAAGGTGAGTGTGCTCGGCGCTATGGCGAGAGCCACACTTTGAAAAGAAGCCACCCTCCATCCGTGAAGCTCTTGCGACCTTTTGAAGACGAGTGTGCGCGGCGCTAAGGCGAGAGCCACATTTTGAAAACGGATCGCCCTCCATCCGTCAAGCTATTGCAAATTCCAAGCTTCAGGATCATAAGTTGTGAGGAAATCTCAGGCGAAATGCCCAGCCCGCCATTTCGACCGGCCTCGGGGTGCGACAGGGAGGAGTTATCTATAAAGAGCATGAATGGAGGAGTAGGAGGAGGAGGAGGAGGAGGAGGAGGAGGAGGAGAAGGAGGAGAGGCGGAGGGAGGAGGAGGAGGAGAAGAGGAGGAGGAGGAGGAGAAGGGGGAGTAGGATGAGGAGGGAAAGACGAGGAGGCTGAGGAGGAGGAGGAGAGGCAGGGATGGGGGAGGCCAGCGGCGGTGGAGGAGGGGGCAGGAGGATGAAGAAGAGGAGGAGGAGGAGGAAGAGGAGGAGGAGGAGGAGGAGGAGGATGAGGAGAGCGTGCTGTTTGCCATCACGTCCCCCCTCGTACCCCAGACGGTGGGGCGGGGGGGCGTTGGCAGCGTCCGGAGGACCCTCTTGCCGTCAGTGCTTCAGTGTTTCAGTGCTTCAGGAGGAGAAGGAGGAGGAGGAGGAGGAGGAGGAGGAGGAGGAGGAGGAGGAGGAGGAGGAGGCGGAAGAACGAGGAAGAGGGTGGCCCCTCGGGCTCCCGGCTGCTGGAATCGTCCTACCCATGTGTCTCTCTTCGTCTATGTATGCTGCCCACGCCTCTAATGCTTATCTCTTTGCCACCATTGACCCACTAGCTAGCCCGATCACACTATCATTATGTAGTCTCCCCAGGCTGATTCATAGCGCGGGGCATGAAAGTCCACGACTGCCCCTTAGAAGGCGGTGCACCTTCCGTCCCATGGGTGCTCGGCGGTGCCCTGCTGCTGCTGCTGCTGCTCCCCCTTCGGCCTCCAAGGCTTCCAGGTACGGCGGTTAGACGTCAACTGTGGAGGCCTTGGGCCTCGGGTCGAGAGCTAGCCGAGGGCCAAGGCACCGACGGCGCCCCGGGACACTGGGACGTCGACCGCGCCCTGGGACCCTGGGCACGGATGTGACGAGTTTGAGTGTACAGTGTGCAGTCGGGAATTTTGGGATAGCGTGTCGCTCCGCCGGTTCTGGCCCACCACGCTGCAGCGCGACACGCTATCCACGTCGCGGTCCCTAAGACGCCACCGTCTCGAGTTTTTCTTTCTCCTTGCCTCCCGTCCCGCGGAGCGGAGTGACACGCTATCGGCTCACAACGCGTAGCGTGTCGTCGGGGCAGCCGCCGCGACACGCTGTGCTATGCAAAAGTTCCCGACCGTACGTGTGGCCAACGTTGAGATAATCAACGCGGATGGGGGAGGTCGGCTACAGCCGGGGCCCTGCAGAAGGAACCCTTTTCGTTGGGGAGGCGCTCGGTGTTCCTTGATTGTTCTACAGTTTGCCTTCTGTTTTCCTGAGGTTTTCCATGGGAAATCGAAGTTCAACTTATGGGAAAAAAGGGGCCCCGTTCTTTATTTAGGGTTCCTTCGGTCAACGCCCCGACTGTACATGTAAGACTGGCCCTCCGCCAGAGGGACCTCTGGTGCGCCGCTTTCGGGGGCCGCGGGGGGAGGGGGCGTAAGTCCGAGCACGCAGGCCGCTGCCGCCGTAGCGAACGCGGCGACAGGCAGGCCAGGCACCGAAGGGCCATCCCTGCCCAGAGCCGCTCCTCGAATTAACAAAGGCTGCATCAGCATCAACCTTGGCACTCTGCACGGCCTTCTGGGATCTGCGCTGGACCCTCCTCCCTCTCGCGCGGAGCGCGCCAGGGGCGGCGCCAGAGGCGCCGCCAGGGGGCTCCAGCGCACATCTCAGAAACCCGCGCAGAGCGTCGAAAGCTTCTATTTCTGTTTCTGCTTGTTCCTGCAGCTCTTGCGTGCAGGGCCGGGGAGGGCGAGCAGCAGCAGGAACAGCGCAGCCCGCGGCCGTGGAGCCGCCCGCCACGGCGGAGAGCGCGCGGCCCGCCATGGCGCGGGGCGCGCCGGCGGCGGCCGGCGGCGGCCGGCGGCGGCGGCGTGCCGGGGCCGCCCTGGCGCGCCTCCCCCCAGCCTGGCGGGGCAGCGTTTCTGGGAACCAGCACATGATCAGCTCTGACCAGTAGCAGAAAGTTTGGAGGCATGTTTTGATGTTTTGATTTTTTTTTGAGATTCGTAGATCGGCGGTTGGAGAGGGCCCGTTTTGCCCCCCCCCCCCCCCCTCCAGATTTGGCGCGATCTCCACGTTGCGTTCAACTTGTAACGCGCTTTTTGATCCAAAGACATCGGGCCGAAGTCGGGCCACCGCCGCGTTTCGTGAAATTTACGTTTCTGTCATGTGACATGGCATAAACGTAATTTTTCGGAGGTCCGCGCGGAGTTCTCGGATCGTCGCTGGCGCCCCCTGGCCCCCTGGCGGCGTCTCCGGCGCCGCCCCTGGCGAGCTCCGCGCGCCGGGAAGGGGGGTCAGCGCCGATCCCAC